AGGACATTTAAACTGTATTCCTAGGAGTAGAGTGCACCCTGTAAGTAAATAGGGTAAATGTGATAAGTTAAGAGTATTTCATTTAAAATTTAGGTTGACATGAACCCTTAATGAACAGTGAGAAATATTTACACAATTAAGGACTATCATCACTGTGTACATTCCACATGGAAACTATTTTACCCTTAATCAAGTCAGTTTATTGGCAAGTATAGACACTCTATTCCGTATTTGGGAGAGGAGGAGTGCACCCAGAGATAGCTAGAGTAGTCATCTTATACATAATCATGTCTTTTGATGAATAATGGTCCACAGTAGATAGTTGTAAAATTCATATTTTTATATCTGTGTTATCCTTCAGCCTATCAAGGCATAGATATACACACGTGCACAAACAAAAGAGATGAATGGGCATATCAGTTGTTTGCAGTTCATACTAATTCATATGTGTATCACTCAGTATAGCTATGAAATTCTTTTATCTTTTTGTGTTATTACTGTAGATATCACAGTAATTACTCTTCTTACAGTTATTGTTTCCAATCAGATAAGAGAGTATAATTTAAAAAAAAAATAGAATTGATGCACTACAGTTCTATAGAGTATGCTATTAGCCAACTCTGTGCCATTCTCATAAAAGTTATGCAATTTAAACTGGATGATGGCAGTGCCTGCTTCTATTAGGAACAAGAACCCTTTTCCACTCTGTAATATGCTCAATTACCTTTAGATTGATCCGTGAATAAATTATAATCCAAATAGACTACTTTTCCTCCAAGCTTTGCTGGCTTAAGGAATCATTGTTGATTCACGGTGTTGTCACCTTTCTATCGGCAACGTAATGCTTTTTATATCTGGATAGAGACAATTTTAGTGTGAGATACTGTTATCTTTAAATGAGTAGGATTTAGATTTTCTGGTGAGAGCAGATTCATCAATGATGAATCCCTGGAGAAACTACTGAAATAAAAATCATGCCCTTTCTGAGTTGTGTTCTGTTTGTCAGTTGCAAGGCAGCTTTGGATGGTCCTCAAGAACTTTTTGCCTTTGTTTGGGGAACCTAGCATGATGCTCAAAACCTCTTCCTTTGAATTTCAGCAGGCTCAAAATTTCATGTAAAAAAATAATGAATGAGGAAGAAAGGTTCCTGCTACTGCTCTACCAGGCCTGGCTGCTTCTTCTCCTACAATGGAAAATCAATTAGCTGCAATTTCAGGCAGAGATTTGAACCAAATGCTTTATTAATCACCACTGATTGAACACCTATACCCTGACCAGCTTCCTGTTCATCTTTACTATTTTTTAGTCTTGTCTGGTTTTGCTTTTTTTTTTTTTTCTGTCTGTTTAGCTGTTTTGTCACAATTGGGTTGTAAGCATAAGCCTGAATGTAGACTGATTACAGGTGAAACAGAAAACAAACAAACAAACAAACTTTTACATTAGCAGAAAAGCACAAGGACCTGAGTTCAAATGTCAGCAGCCATGTTTAAAGGCTGCGTATAGTGGTGGTTACCTGCAACCCCGCAATGGAGAGATAGACACAGGCAGATCCCCAGGGCTCTCGGGCCAACCAGCTGAGCGTAATGGGTGAGCCCCAGACCCCAAGGAGAGGCACTACCTCAAGCAAGGTGAATAGCGTCCAAGCCATGTCATTAGAGATTTACCTGGAGCACAAGGCAAGTACGCATCTACACTCACATATAAACATACACCTGCGCACATGCATGTGTGTGCACACACACACACACACACGCACAAACACACAACTTTCAGAACTTCTAAACCCTAGAGCCACTTTAATACATTTAATGCGTGTGTATGTGCACAAGGGAAAGAGTGTGTGTGTATATGTGTGTGTACATGTATATGACTAGATACAGGTGTATTTTTAGGTGTTTGTGCGTGTGTATATATGTCAAAGCCTGAGGGGTTAACATTAAGTGTATTCCACCTCACTGAGACAGAATCTTTCAGTTGAACCCAGAACCCGTTGAGTCAGGCAATCTAACTACCGTCTTGTTCCTGGGATCCTCTCTCTCTGCTTCTTACACGCTGGGATTACAGGTAGTCGACTATGCCTACCAGAATGTACATGACTACTGGGATCCAAATCCAATAGTTTACCCACTGAACATTCCCCTACCTACCCCTACACTTATTTTTTTCAGAATTTAATTTTTCATACTAATGACTTAGGCAGTAATTCCTGTGGCAGCCTTGAAGTTTTGAAAGGATCCCTTAGTCTCTGTTCTCTCCACATGACAATAAGAGGCTAGAAATGGGTCCATCTGAGTTTGCAACTGTGTGGTTGGGTGCTGAAGAATATTCATTGGTATTTTGTACATGCGTTTTCAACTTAACCAATGAACAAATAATATCCTATGGAATCTTTATGTTAAGTTGAGAGCTTCTCCTTATTACTGATTATACAGATGAACAAATTGGGTTTTTTGGCACTGCTAGCCACAGGGGAAAAGTGAATGCCTCAATTTTATAAGGGGTGAATGTGATCAACTAGTACAAAAAAAAACCTAAGGATATCAGCCCATTAGATGCTTACACTAGATGTCTGCTACTCAGTATGAAGGGATTTTAAATATTTAGAATCTTCATTATTATTGTTGTGAATGCAGTAGTTTAAGGGTGCAGATTAACTACATCACTTTGTCCATCTGAATGAAGAATAATCTTTTCAAATTCTGCACGTGCATGTGTGTGTGTGTATGTATAGCATACCTGGGGAGGGGTGCTTTTGGATACCAGAATATGTAGTTTTATCCCATGAAACTGGAGTCACAGGTGACTGTAAGGAACAGTGTGGGTGCTGTGAACTGAACTTTGGTCTCCAGAAATGGCAATCTTAATCACTGAATTATCTCTTCTCCCCGTGGGTAAGAAACCATCCAGGTAAAGGATATTATCCTCCAGTCTCTATTTAAAGAAGATGAGCTGAGAAGTCACAAGAACATTTGTTTTTGGAACAGCCTTTACAAAACTCAAGTGGAATTAGATGGTGTTGAGAGAAACAGGATCGATTACAGCAACCAGGATCATGGATGACTTCTTTGGATTAGTTGACATGAGAGCCTGCAGAACCAGAGGCTGTGTGCTTAAACACTGAACTGTTCTTGATCATCTGAGCAGTATAAGACTCAGATTTAAGGACCCTAGACGAGCAAGACAAACATATAAAGAATGATCTTCTCACTTGTGTCCTGATCTCATGTCATGTGATATGTGTTCTGCACCTTAGGAGACTCTATCTAGACACAAGGGTATAGTCTCTGTAGTTTAATTCCAATTCTTCATTTGCCACAGGCATCCAAAAATATTATTTGAACATTAAATGGGATGAAAAAATAAAATTCATGTAAGATTTATTTTTATATTAAAGTGGATTTTCTATGGGATAAGTTTTGAGGAGTCCCTTTGGACTCTGACTTTTTAAGCTTTTAATAAGCAAGCATCACTTATCTTACAGTAAAATATAGAGAAAATACTCTACCCTCCATCATTTCATGTTACTGTAAGCATTAAATGTTGTAATTCGGAAAAGTGCTAAGATATAGTGATGACGTATATAATTCTAATTCAATTGGGAATAAATTAATTTGGCGTTGACTTCCCTTTTCCGTTTACTTGACTTTTTAACATAATTATAGTGAATTGATAATCAAAGTAACATGCCTACGTATATTTCCACATAAATATGTTTTCGCTAATATAAATATACAGTTGAAGTCTATAGTCTGATCTACTTGATTGGCTTGCTTGTGCTCTGCTACCTACCCTCTCACAATCTCCAAAGATCCCATTTCCCTGGGGCCCTGTGCAAGCTGGCAAGTGAAGGCTGGTACTCTGAAACAAGTGTGATTTTTTTTTCCACTGAAGTACCTGCTAGGTCAGAGATCACGATGACCTTGTAGTGCTGTAGTTTTCTGAATCCCCATCAGCTAGAAAAAGAGAGAGAGAGAGAGCTTTATTCTGCAGGACTAGAGTATTTGTTTGCAGAGGTATAAAGACATGGCAATTCCAGCTTACAAGCGGCTGTGAAACATTTGGAATTCAATGGTGTCTGTCATCAGTGGGATGTGTCAGTAAAAGTGAAGATCAAAGGTTCCAGAAAAGGGGAAGGACACAGTGGAGAGTAGATAATTGTGGGATAATGAATGGTACGAGGGCATTTTTGTGTTAACTTGAAACCACTTAGCATTTTTCCATGGCACCTAGGTATCTTCCTAAATGAACTTTGTAAAGTACAATTGAATAACCTTGAGATTTAAAGCCTCATCGTGCTTCTGAATACTGATGGAGTTTGTTTAAGCACCGTGATATACCCTCTGCCTTTCGCTTCTATTTTTTGCCTCCTTCACGCAAAATAAAGTTTATTTTCTGTGCAGAGGAATCAATATTTTTGCCATTTTGTTTTTCAACTATTCCAGTAAGTTGCAATCAGCATTAGTTACAATCTTTAAAGAGATGCAGTAAGAATTTGAACACAATAAAATGGAGATACAGATGAGAACTTTGGCAAAGTACCTATTCTATTGACAGAGGCATTTGTCAAGGGCTTTGGCTGTGTCTATATTGTGCTAAAAACCTGACGAAGGGGAAAATAAAGCATCAATAGGTTTCACCTTCTGTCTGTACAAACCAAACAAATGGCCTCCTTAATAGCTATTGTTTTAAGTGAGTGGATTTGGTTTGCCATGGTGAAATCCATTCCACTCAGAAATGGATTTTAATTAACATCTGCATCTACCACATTTATGTTTGGGTGAAGTATCCTTGACTTGTTTTCTTTTTGATGCCAGATGGAATCTGGTACACAGAAGACGAGTGGTCCAAGAAGAAGGAAGACCTAGGTAACAGGGATATGAATCACTCTCCAAATGCACATTTGTTTGTTGATGGTACTTGTGTGTAGAGACATCCTCATGCTTTGCTTTTCTATTTCTACGGTTTTGATACAGTTTCTGCTTTGTGTGTTTTCCCTTAAGAAACTGCCAAGCTTTGGACCTTACCTTGAACAACGTAAGAAAATCATAGCAGCGAGTAAAATGAGACAGAAAGATCAACATGGAGCTTGTTCACCACTCCAGAGAAAGCAGTTTATTCCCCAAAAGCCTATTCCTGCCATCAAGGTAAAAATCAAGATGAATTTATAAATGTATGTATTTCCCATTCAAATTTGGCTTAAAGGTTTTTTTTCTCCTTAAATGTAACATTGATTTTTTTTTTTTTACTTTCAATATTCTGAACATTTCTAAAAAGTCTGTCTACCATAAAAATGCCTTCTAATAACCACGTACTTGTTTGTATCCAACTTTTGCTTGTTTATGACACACTTTCTAGATCACGGCTTTGTGTTTCATGGAAATTTTGTGTATTCATGTATCAGGAGATGTTAAGAATTCTTCATACTTTCATAATCAACTACTAGTATTTTAATTCAGAGTTAAGTTTAAGAAATCTGTCAGTGACATGGGTCCAGTTGTGCATGCCTGTAATCCCAGCACTCTAGCAGACAGAAGCAAGCAGGCCTTTGTGAGTTCGAGGCCATCTGGTCTAAAAGTAAGTCCAGGACAGCCAAGGCTACCCAGCCCAGAGAAACTTTGTCTTGAAAACAAATTAAGCTTGACTACTCTGTCATAATTCCTGTGCTCAAACTCTAGCACTGACATGCCATAACCATATGAACTTGCCTCAGTAAACTAGTCTATGAAATAGAGCCAATGAAAGTATTTGCCTTCATACAGTTATAAATTTGATGGTATGTGAAATATTTTTAAGTATAGTGTCTGTCCTAATTGCTACTTGCTAATAATTATAATGCCAGAATGGACAGGTTAGATAACAGGTTAGTTGGATCTTTCTACTTTGCCTGTTGAAGTGAACTCTATGATGGGTAAGAAAATAAGAAACTCCAACAACCAACCAAGCTGCGGTTTTTGAAGCCATTATATTCTCCAAGAAATCTTTACTTCAGAACAGCCACACGACAAGTAATGTGCCAGGAGCTGAGCATCAAATGCTCAGTGACACTGACAAGCATATTTTGTAAGCTCATGAAACATACAAAAGACACAGAGAGAGAGATTAAACAAAGTCTGGCAGAGACAGTTTGGAATATTTGTGGTATAAGCTACACATAAGATGGATAGACTCTTTCAAGACTCCTAACTTAGAGCAAAGGAGCCAAGGAAATGCTTCTGGATGCAGTGGTTTGCCTCTTTGGCCTAGATGGCTTGAGAAATGCCTAGAAATTAGAAAATCAAGTTTCTGGGTGTGTCTGTGAGGACATTTCTAGAGATAATCCTGAGGGCTCTGACCTAATGAGTGGAGTCAGCCCTTGATTGTTCTGCAATTTGACAGCGAGAGTGGAAAAGTGGTCAGAGGTAGACCTTCTTGAAAGAAAGGGGAACATGGGGGTAGCTGTATGGAATCCCACTTGTGTTCTCTCACTCCCTGTCTGTTCCCTGGCTGCCATGATGTGAGCTGTACTGCTCCTCCATACCCCTCCCTGGTATGATGGCCTGGCTTCTCCGAAACTTGGAATGAAGTCCTTCCTTTGCTAAGCTGCTTTTGCAAGGTGTAGTTACAGCTATGCTGAAGGAATTTATGCACTGCGTCAGAGGACTGATTGATCCTATGAACTCAATATGATTAGAAACATAGGAGAGTGGAAAAAATACATCATGATCCAGAATATATTGCATTTGGTGAATAGTTATAATGGAAAACACTGTTTTGGAGTCAATACAATTTGACTGATTCTCAGTTCAGGGTCTGGAAAGTCCCATTGTATCAAAATATAAGGTATGAGAAAGGATTGAAAATAAGACGTGTTGCATTATTAATATTTACTATGGTTTATCTTTTAGTTATTCTGCGGTTATTCCTAAAGTAGCTGTATACCCAAATCACCACACAGAGACTGGGATTTATTTAATTAACCTAGAGCACATTGCTGGGCAATAGTTACTCCATCCTAAACCTCCAAGCCCACATAGTTTTCTACCATTCAGATTTTACCCATTTTATTTGCTTTTAGTCATATCTTAGTTCCAGTTCATTCTTCCACGTGGTTCCAAGTTCTCTCCTCTGAATTCTCTACTCCTCTCTCCTCCCACTCCCTTCCTTCTTTTTCCACTGACTTCCTTCTGCTCCCCAATCTGGACCAGGATGTCCCACCCTATATTCTCCACTGTACAGCATTGGCTGGGTGGTTGTTTAATTGACAGTATACAGAACAAATGGTGGCATGTTTACACAAACTTGAGACAGGTGATGCTTAGAATAAGCATCATAATGCAATGTCCAGATTGAAACCAGATAGTGGGTAGACAAATCAGCATTTAAAAGAAGAAGGGTAAATTGTATACATTCCAAAAGAACATTATACCAACAAAGAGGTGCAACTGACTAAATTTTGGATGATTTTATTGAGTGAAAATAAAAAAAAAAAGGAATGAATCAGGATTTTGTTCTGTGTCTGGAACAAACTGTGACAAACTGTGTCTAGAAGTTTGTTGTAATTTTACTGAGGTGGGATACAAATTTTAAAAAATTGAGTATTTTTAAAAAAAAATACAACAAAGTATTTAATGAGCAAATTCATATTAGCAAATATGAAACTGCCACAGAGAGGAGGAGCAGGACAGAGATCACAGGCTGAGGGTCAGGAAAAGACTAAGGAGAATCTTAGTTCTAAGTTTCAACTACTAAGGACCAACTACTTAAGAAACCAGGGTGGAGAACAGGGAGGACCCAAAACCAGAGGACAGGAGCTGTGGTCCTGCAAAGGGGGAGGACAGGGCACAGGGCCAGACAACAACATTCAAAATAGTTTGGCCATAAAATATAAACACTCTGTGTTCCTACCATGGGGGAAGGGAGGAGGAAAGAGGTGTAAGGAATAAGAGGCCGTTTGTGAAGGAAGGGGCTGTGGGGCTCCTACCCGCCCTGCTGTGCACACAGTCCCAATCCCACATTGAATATTTTGAAATGGATAAATTTGGAGCCACATACTTGGGTGGATAAAAGAGGAAAAAAAATGACGTCACATCAGCTTACTGTGTGCGAGATACAAGGGGAACCTTCTTAGGTGTTGTCTTTTATTGTTACTTAAAACCCTATATGGAAACAAGGGCACTGGGGGATCAACGTGCAGTGGTCACACAAACAGAAGAATGACCTGAAGAACATGATGACGTGAAAGAAAACAAGACTGGACTAATTCTCAAGAATGAAGTCCTGACCCAGGATAATCTTTTCTAGTTCCCACCATTTTACCTGCAAATTTCATTATTTCCTTGTATTTAATTGCTGAGTAGTATTCCATGGTGTAAATGTACCACAATTTCTGTATCCATTCCTCCGAGAAGAGGGGGGATACAACTGGTACATGGTAATAAAATGTAATACATAAATAATAATTATATTATATATCTGTAATACATTAATAATAATTATATATAATTATATTATATAAAACTGAAACCATAACGGACACTCCCAAACCAGTGAACCTCTCTCATCTTCCTGAAAAAAACAGTCCAGAAAACAGAAAGAGACAATCATAGCCCAAACTACAAACTTGAGGAACAAACAGTGAGGGTTAAAAATAACCAGATGGCTAGAGGCAGACGTAAGAACACACCCAACAAAAATCAGGACATAATGACCTCACCAGCAACCCCACAAAACAATGGACACTTCAAGTCACTAGATATACAAGAAAACAACCTCAAAAATGTTTCTCCAGCTATTAGAGGCCCATAAAGATGAAATGAACAAAGCCCTAAGAGAAATAGCCAAAGAAATCGAGATGAACCAAGAGGAAACAAATCAAGCTCTCAGAAAAATGACTATGAAAATTGAGGCAAACAAAGAAGAAATGAACAAAGCTCTCAAAGAAATTTCCACACAAATGAGGGCAAATAAAGAAGAAATAAACAAAGCTCTCATAGAAACACAGGCAATTATAGCCAAAGAAGTAGAGGCACAATTAGTGATACATAGAGAAGAAACAGACAAAAAAATAGAAGCTGTCATTGAAAAGCAGGACTCCACATTCAAACAGATGAAGGAAATGTTGCAAGACATGAAAACAGAATTAGAATCAATAAAGAAAACACAAATAGAGAAAAACTTGGAGCTGGAGAACATAGAGAAAAGATCAGGAACTACAAAAGTAAGCATCACCAACAGAATACAAGAGATGGAAGAAAGAATCTCAGGAGCCAAAGATACACTTGTGGAAATTGACACGTCTCTCAAAGAAAAAATAAAATCAGAAAAGTTCCAAACACAAAACATCCAAGAAATCAAGGACACCATGAAAAGACAAAACCTAAGAATAATAGGAGTAGAAGAAAAAGAAGACATCAGGCTCAAAGGTCCGGAAAATATTTTCAAAAAAATTATAGAAGAAAACTTTCCCAACTTAAAGAAGGAGATGGCCATAAACATACAAGAGGCCTACAGAACACCAAGTAGACTAGACCAGAAAAGAAATTCTTCACGTCACATCATAGTCAAAACACTGAACCTACAGAACAAAGAAAAAATTCTAAAAGCAGCAAGGGAAAAAGGCCAAGTAACATATGAAGGTAGACCTATCAGAATCACACCAGATTTTTCAACAGAAACTATGAAAGACAGAAGGGCCTGGACAGAAATCATACAGTCCTTAAGGGACCACAGATTCCAACCCAGACTACTATACCCAGCAAAACTTTCAATCAACATAGACAGAGAATTCAAGATATTCCAAGACAAAACCAAATTTAAACAATATCTACATAGTAACCCAGCTCTACAGAAGTTACTAGAAGGGAAACTCCAAACCAAAGAAAATAACTACATCTAAGGAAACAGAGGAAATAGATAACTACACAACAACAACAAAAAAAAAACAAAACAAACAAACAAAAAAAAAAAACAAAAGAATACAAGCAATGAAACTCAGTGACACTACCAACCCCACATCAAAAGTAACAATTGTTGGTCACTAGTATCTATCAACATCAACGGACTCAACTCCCCAATAAAAAAACACAGACTAACAGAATGGTTGCAGAAACAGGATCCAACATTCTGTTGCATCCAAGAAACACACCTATGCAACAAAGATAAACAC